CATCATTGATGGACATTTGGGTTATTTCCACATTGGAGCTATTATGAACTATGCTGCTGTAAACATTCATGTACAAGATTTTGTGTGCCTATGTTTTTAAGACATTTTAAAAATAGTTAAGTGTTGGCAATGAAATGAAGTGCATTGCAAATGAGAGTAGAAAAGAATCTGAAGATTCTTCAAAAAGTTTAGTTTCCATAAGACCTGACAAATCCACTCTCACTTATATCCAAGAGAACATATGGTGGCAGGAACTCAATGACTTCAGCAGAACATTCCGAACATTCTGAAGCGTGGGATGCTTGATGCCTACTGAGGGCCCAAACCTCAGCAGGAGCCCCTAGAAGCCCTGTGTTTCCTCAGCCTTGGAGGCTACAGGCCTGCAAAAGCCTTTGCTGCCAACTCTCCACTTTTCTCTGCAGCAGTGGGATATGCCCGTTTCATTTTATTTCCTTTCCCTCCACTGTTCTGCTTCTTTCATTAAGACTCAGTCATATTTCTTTTTTTTTTTTTTTTTTTTTTTTTTTTTAACAGGCAGAGTGGACAGAGAGAGAGAGACAGAAAGGTCTTCCTTTTTGCCGTTGGTTCACCCTCCAATGGCCGCCGCGGCTGGCGCACCGCGCTGATCCGAAGGCAGGAGCCAGGTGCTTCCTCCTGGTCTCCCATGGGGTGCAGGGCCCAAGCACTTGGGCCATCCTCCACTGCACTCCCTGGCCACAGCAGAGCTGGCCTGGAAGAGGGGCAACCAGGACAGAATCCGGCGCCCCGACCGGGACTAGAACCCGGTGTGCCGGCGCCGCTACGTGGAAGATTAGCCTATTGAGCTGCGGCGCCGGCAAGACTCAGTCATATTTCTAACTGCTTCTTAAATAGGTTATTTTTCCTCTCTACGAGTTTCAGTATTATTAGACAAAAACATATGTGCTCCTTAAAGATTTTTTTTTTAAATCTTAGGAGCCAGCATGTGGCACAGCAGGTTAAGCTACTGCCTGTAATACTAACATCTTATATGAGTGCCAGTTTGAGTCTTAGCTGTTCCACTTCCAGTCCAGCTCCCTGCTAATGTGCCTGGGAAGGCAGCAGATGGTGGCCCAAGTGCTTGGGCCCCTGTCAACCACTAGGGAGACCTGGCTTCAGCCTGGCCCAGCTATCACCACTGATAGTGAACTAGCCATGATAGTGAACCAGATTTTTTTTCTGTAATTCTGCCTTACAAATAAATCTATATATAAAAAAAAAAGTATACTGAAAAAAACTCCAAATATAAAGAAAATTAAAAGTAATAACTCTTAAAACTACTACCAAAACTCAACAATTGTTAAATTCTTCCATGTAGGGCCGGTGCTGTGGCACTGGGTTAACACCATGGCCTGAAGCGCTAGCATCCTATATGGGCGCCAGTTCTAGTCCTGACTGCTCCACTTACGATCCAGCTCTCTGCTATGGCCTGGAAAAGCAGTAGAAGATGGCCCAAGTCCTTGGGCCCCTGCAGCCACATGGGAGATACAGAAGCAGCTCCTGGCTCCTGGCTTCAGATTGGCACAGCTCCAGCCATTGCAGCCAGTTGGGGAGTGAACCATTGGGTGGAAGATCTTTCTCTCTCTCTCTCCACCTTTCCTCTCTCTCTGTGTAACTCTTTCAAATAAATAAATAAATCTTTAAAAAAAAATGCTTCCATGTTTGCTCTATCCATCTATTTGAATACAGATTACTCAATTAACAAAATAAATTACCTATATCACTTCCTAAACCCATTAGCATGCAAAGCAAAAAGAAATATTATCTTCCATAATATACATTACCACAGTTAGCATTATCAATAACTCTCTAATAGAATCTAATATATTATATTAAAATTTCCCCAAACTCTTTTCAGCTTTGTTCAAACCAGATGAGAGTTAAGGACCACCTATTGCAGTTGGTTCTGGACAATCCTCACCTATACTTGTTTTTTTCATGACTTTGAGACACCAGGTCTGTCTTGTACATCACACATTCTGGATTGTCTGTTTCCTCGTGGTGTCTGTCCTCTATATAACTGGAATTTAGATCTTCAACTTCCAGGACTTGCACCTTCAGTATAAGAATATCTTATAGGTGATGCTCTGCATTTTGTATTACATCACAACAGGAACAGTTTGGGTTCAATCATTGTTTCATGATGGGAAGTCTGACCACCATGTTGGAGGCACAAGATCTCTCCTTTGGGGCTGGCACTGTCGCACACTGGGCTAAGCCTCTGCCTGTAGCACTGGCATCCCATATGGGCACCTATGGGTGTCCCAGATGCTCCTCTTCTGATCCAGCTCTCTGCTATGACCTGGGAAAGCAGAAGATGGCCCAAGTGCTTAGACCCCTGAACCCACATGGGAAACCCGGAAGAAACTCCCAGCTCCTGGCTTCAGATCGGCCCAGCTCTGGCCATTGTGGCTATTTAGGGAGTGAACCAGCAGATGGAAGACCTTTCTCTCTGTTTCTTCCTATGTCCTAATTCTCTCCCTCAAATAAATAATTAAAAAAAAGAGAGAGAGCGAGATCTCACCACTGTACAGTGGTTTCCCCTTTCCAAGTGTAGTATATAGGGTGATATCCTTACATTATGAGAATATCCAGCTCTCCATCAAAAATTTCACCAGCCATCAATGACCCTTAAATCAATTATTTGAAGTTGTAAAATGGTGATTATCTATTAGTCCTTCTATATTTATTAACATTATTTTATTTAAAATGAAAGGTTTTTGGGGCCGGCACTGTCGTATAGTGGGTAAAGCTGCAAACTGCAGTGTCAGCACCCCATATGGGCATCAATTTGAGTCCTGGCTGCTCCACTTCAATCCAGCTCTCTGCTATGGCCTGGGAAAGCAGTAGAAGATGGCCTAAGTGCCCTCTCTCTGTCTACCTCTCTCCGTAACTCAAATAAATAATCTTTTTTAAAAAATTTCTTTTGAGCTTAAAACCACTCATCTTGACCTTTGAGAACCCCCACAGCATTATCACCAATTTTTACTCATCCAGGTCAGATTCCTGACCCATACATCAAATATTAGGACATCCTGGAGGACCCAATCCATAGCACCTCTGTTAAGAACAGTGGTTCTAGGCCGGCGCCGCAGCTCAATAAGCTAATCCTCTGCCTGCAGCGCCGGCACCCCGGGTTCTTGTCCTGGTCACTCCTCTTCCTGTCCAGCTCTCTGCTGTGGCCCGGGAGAGCAGTGGAGGATGGCCCAGGTCCTTGGGCCCTGTACCTGCATGGGAGACCAGGAGAAGCACCTGGCTCCTGGCTTCGGATCAGTGCGGTGCGCCAGCCGCAGCGGCCATTGTGGGGGTGAACCAACAGATAAAGGAAGACCTTTCTATCTCTCTCTCTCACTGTCCACTCTGTCAAAAAAAAGAAAGAAAGAACAGTGGTTCTCACCAGGGGCAATTATTTTTCCCTCAGGGGAATTTGACAGTATCTGGAGATATTTCTGTCACAACTGAGGGAGGAGGGAGAAAAGAGGATTCTGTTGGCATCTCGTGGGTAGAGGATCAGGATGTAGCTAAATATCCAACAATGCAAAGGACAGCCCACACGGAGAAATCTCCAGACAAAAATGTCAATAGTCAACAGACTCTGAGTTAAAACAGTACCCACTCTAAACAAATTGTAGGAACACAAAACTAAGCTGGTAGGAGTCCTACCCCTTTATGACTGTTAAAGACTATGCTGAGAGTTTACCAGTAGGCAAGTAGACTCCTTCAGGCAGCCAGAGCCGAGGTTACTGCACGCCTCCCCAAGTGGCATCAGGCTCCTGTAACACTCATCATGTTGCAGCTAAGAAAATGCACTCCCTGCAGATAACTAACTCCTAAGAGGGAAAAATAAAGAGAAACATGACCACCAACTCCCAAGAGAGCAGGTAAAAGGGTAGAAAAAGCTGGCAGTAAATCATTTAGCTTCCATCCAAAGGGAATGGAAACAAGAGAAGGAAAGCATTTTACCCTAAACAGAGTCAGAAGCAGTGGTTGGGGTAACTGGGTCCTACTGGATCCTGAGAACCAACTGTTAAATCTGCCAAGTTTGCAAGCATGGTGATAAATCCTTGGTAATCTGCAATCAGCCATAGTAGGCCATATAGCATGTAAGTAAAAAAAAAACACTACAGGTGCCAGTATTGTGGCACAGAGTGTTAAGCCACTGCCTGTGAGTGCTGGTCCAAGGCCCAGCCACTACACTGCCGATCAAGCTCCTTACTCATGCACCAGGAACGCAGCAGCAGAAATCCCAAATGCCCATCACAGCTGGGGCTGGGCCAGGCTTAGGCCTGGAGCTGGGAATGCAATCCAGGTCTCCCACTGGATGGCAGGGACTTAAGTGCTTGAGCAATCTACCACCTGCTGCCTCCCATGGTGCACACTAGCAAGAAGCTGGATCAGAAGCACAGATCCGAACCCAGGCATGCCAATGTCTTCACCACTACACCAAACACCTGCCCCAGGAAATCATGTAATGAAATACTGTGCACATATTAATATTGTTGGAATATTTGATATGGAAAGACAGTCATCAGTTAAATTCAAAAAGGACTTAAAAGGAGGTTTAAAATAGTATATTCAGGATGAACATATTTTTATAAAAATAAAATTGTGCTTAGCATGTACTGAGAAAAACTAATATATAGCATAGTATGATCAACATTTCTTTTTCTGCTTCTATAATATGCATATATTATATGCTTTGTTTGTTTATAATAGAAGTTAATGGGAATTGAGCTTAGTAGCAAAATCCTTATCACCAAATATCAGAATTATGTGTATTTCCTAATTATTTCAGCTTTTTAAAATGCACCTGCTCAAAATCAAAGCTCATCATTTTATTTGGAATAATATTTGCTTGAGAACCAAATGGTCGTGTAAATGAGAAAGCAGGTAGGTATAATAAAAAGACAGAAAAGGAAGTGTCAAAACAACTACAGTCTTTTGTTCCACTGTCTATTGCAGTGTATTAAATAAAACAACAATTAACCAAAGACACCTTTATTGTTTTAGTTTTCAAAAAACAAACTCTTTTCTTCTTTTTCCAAAATAATCATGATTAACTTACAAAATGGGTATACAATATATCTTCAAAGCATTTCCCTTGAACGGGAAACTTAGCTTTATGGGATCTAAACATTAAAAAATTAAAAAAAAAAAGTGTTGTTGCCACCAGAAGACAACACAGAATCTAGCGTAAGTCAAGGAAATCTGCTCATACTTCAGGCCCTTCTCCTCCCGGGACCAACTGCATAGAAGAAAAAAAAAAAAGAAAAAACGAGTTGATTAATGAAAACATCACTGTACCTACAAACCCTGCCTGCCACATGCTCCTCACCAACCAAGGCCACTCACCCTTCCTCATTTTCTCCAGGTCATCAATATCTGTTTCCAGTTCCCAGTACCACTAATTAATACTTAGTGTCTCAACAATGATTCCTAACCAAGCAAAAGTAAAAAGCCCAGCAAACTAATCCTTAGGCCTAACACCTTCTCAAGAGCTTGGCTTTAGGGCCCTGACTACCAGACAATCTCTTTCACCCTAAGCACCACCAAGCCACGGCATGAGTGAAGCAACCGGCAACATTACTAGTTAGGTCTGTAAGCCCTGTCCCACAGAAACAGCTTTAACATGTCTTACCATTGTTATATTATTTCCATTTAGCAAAATCTGATCTAATTTAGTGATCCTTCTTCCTTCCGGTGTGATTTCACTAAATGAAGTGATAAAACAGAAAGTCAGGATAAATGGTGGTAACCAAAGGCAGCATTTTAGAAACACCTTCTCTCTCTAAAAAGGTAATGTTTGTATAAACGAAAGTTCAGCAATTATAAAGGTGATTTTCAGAGATAAAAGTTATCCACTGGGTAATGTACACTCTTCATCAAAAGCAAGAGTAGACCAATGGATATAAATAAGATCCATAGCCAAGGGGGCTGGCACTGTGGCTCAGCAAGTTAAACTGCTGCCTGCAGTGCTGCATCCCATACAGGCACTGGTTTGAGTCCTGGCTGCTCCACTTCCAGTCCAGCTCCCTGCTGATGTGCCTGGGGAGGCAACAGAGGGTGGACCAAGTGCTTGAACCCCTGAACAGATGTGGGAGACCTGGGGAAAGCTCATGGCTCCTGGCTTCAGCCTGGCCCAGCCCTGGCATTGCAGCCCTTTGGGGGAGTAAACCAGCGAATGGAGGATCTCCCTCCTTCCCTCTCTTTCTTTCTCTCTGTAACCTGGCTTTTGAATAAATAAAGCTTTAAAAAAAAGATTCACAGCCATGAGACTTATCTTCAAAAAAAAAAAAAAGTGGAGCCTGCCAAGATCGAATATAAAATATTTAGTAGACTCACTCTTTAACATTTTGTATTTTGTATTACTACTGATTTCTATCCACTAAACTACTATGTAACTAATACTTATCACTTACATTTTACATTATATAGTTAAATGTTTTCATCATCAGGTCCTTGATATGACCTGAGCCTTAAAATCCCTGCACGTTAACATCTGTTACCTTCAAGCTTTGTCTCCACTAATTTCCTAGCAATTCAGCAACAATTACATAACTTTTACAAGCATTAGTAAATAAAAGTTGCCTCTACTTCCATTTTGCTGACTAAACAGTACTTAAAATGTCCTGAATTTGAAAAAGAGCCGAGTTCTGTCATTTTTAGCACTACTCACAATTCAGTGACATCTTCCAATACCATATCTGAAAGGTGGTGTTAAGGAAATAAACACTCCAGGTTGAAACAACTCTGGTTTCTGCTTTCATTCAGTTGTAATGATAATATTTAACACAAAGGCTCATAATAAAAAGGCTGACTGTTGGTAGGAATGTGACCTTCTTCCAGTATACTCACCTCTGAAAACACCATCACAAGTGCCCTGAGATGAACTGACTTTTATCGTTAACACCCAGAAACACACTGTCTACGGTTCTGTTATTAAATAAACAGGAAAAAGCCACAGCACCACGTTTTAAAAGGATACTGACGAAGTCATCGAAGCCAAGAAGGGTGCCAACAATTTCCTTATCACTCTTCATCACAATGTGAATTCTGGATCCTATACATTTATCCACAAGCTCTGCATGAGGAAAAAGATTATTTTACCCATTTATCATTTTAGCACATATTCGAGTGCACGCTGGCATTTGTTACTTGCATTCAGTGAAAATTAAACTAGGAAGAACATCCGTTCGGTAACCTCGGATCTTACAATGCAAACCTCTGCGCTTAATCAGAAGCCTTTCCACTTCTCCTTTCTGTGCAGCAATCTATCATGATTGTGGCTTTATCTTTATTCCAAATCACGTGATTAACTTAGGGACACAAACACATCCCCCCAGACTCTTAAGCGCCACGAGTCCGGACACTGTGGTCACTTTCGCCCATCGCTGGATCTTCAGTGGACAGGGACGGGCATTTACGGGGCTTTCCACGAGCCTAATCACTGAAGTCCGTCAACGCAACCACTCCTCGCCGGCTACACAATGTCAGAGGCCGCTGACCGTCGTCGCGGGAGCCTCCTGTCACCTCCTCCCTCGCCAGTGAAGCCCCGCGGTGCTGGGGGCAGCTTCAGCACCTCTGGCCAGCCTGGCACGGGGGGCACAAGGTTTACTTGTCCAGTACTGTCTCCTCCACTGGCTTGTGTACCCTTCGGGAGCGATGGCTGTGGTTTAAGGTCGCTGTGGACTAGCACGCAGGAAGAACACGGGCTCTTACTGAATGGATGGATGAATGAATGAATGAATGGCAAACAGGGCTAGTTTCCAGATTCCTCCTCTAAGGCTCGTTCCACAGCGCGCTGCTTCCCGCTCAACTCCCAGACACACAACAGGGTGAACCCCATCTGGGGATCCCAAATGCCACTCCGGACACGGCGCCGCAGCGCTCCCAACAAACACGGCCGACGGTGCGCTCGCCCAGTGCGGCCCTCTCCCGCCCACGGTTCGTTCCGGGGGAGTCCGAGGAGCTGCCTCCAGGGGCAGGAGCACGTTACATCGCAGCAGCGGCCTGGCGCGCAGGAGCTCGGGAGCCGGCGCGAGCCGCGGAGGGGAAACGCTCGGCCCCACACATACGCCCGCTACCCGCCAGGGGTGCCTCGGCCGCAACCCCGCGCCCCCAGTCCTGAACCCCAGCCTCCCGCCCCAGCTCCCTCACAGAAAAACCATTACCTAGCGGCAGCAGCTGCGAGGGGTTCGTAGTAGCGTTAGCCGCCATGGCTACGCCGGAAGTGGCCTGCGTCCATCGACGTTCCACGGTGACTTTAAAAGAGCGCGCCTGCGCCTTTGCCCGCGGCCGGGCAGGCTCGACCAATCGCAGGCCGAGCGGGCGGCCGGCGTGCTCCACGTGGGCGGCGCCCGCGCGCTGCCTTGCTGGGGAGTGGGAGTCCTGGGGTGCTGCCCTGCAGATTCGTTCCCAGGCTTCGGAGAGACGCTGAAGATTGCTAACCTCCTGAAGGAGTTCGTCCTCCGACCGAGAGGACAGCGCATAAGGAAACTTTTGGCTTGTTTTCCCATAAAATTGTCTTTATAAAGACTAGTAAAAATCAGTATTTCCCGCCACCAATTCACTCTTTGACAGAGTTACAGTGAGAGAGACAGAGAGAGGTCTTCCGTCCGCTGGTTCACTCCCCAAATGGCCCCAACGGCCGGAGCTGGGCCGATCCGAAGCCAGGAGCCAGGAGCCTTCCCTGGGTCTCCCACGCCGGTGCAGGGGCCCAAGGACTTGGACCATCTTCCACTGCTATCCCAGGCCATAGCAGAGAGCTGGATCGGAAGAGGAGCATCTGGGAATACAACTGGTGCCCTTATGGGATGCCAGCACTGCAGGCGGAGGATTAACCTAGTGTGCCACAGCACCGGCCCCAAAAACATTCCTTTTCTTGAGGCTTCTGTCCCGGTTGCTCCTCTTCCAGTCCAGCTCTCTGCTGTGGCCAGGGAGTGCAGTGGAGTATGGCCCAAGTGCTTGGGCCCTGCACCAGCATGGGAGACCAGGAGAAGCACCTGGCTCCTGGCTTCAGATCAGCGTGGTGCACCTGCCGCAGTGCGCTGGCAGCAGCGGCCATTAAGGGGTGAACCAACGGATAAAGGAAGACCTTTCTCTGTCTCTCTCTCTCACTGTCCACTCTGCCTGTCAAAAAAAAAAAAAAAAAAAAGTAAAAGAGGGGCCAGCGCTGTGGCGTAGCAGGTAAAGGCTGCCTACAATGCCGACATCCCATATGGACTCCGGTTCAAGACCAACTGCTCCTCTTCCAATCCAGCTCTCTGCTGTGGCCTGGGAAAGCAGTAGAAGATGGCCCAAGTCCTTGGGCCCTGCACCTTTGTGGGAGACCTGGAAGAAGCTCCTGGCTCCTGGGTTCGGATCAGCACAGCTCCAACCCTTGTGGTCATCTGGGGAGTGAACCAGTGGATAGTGCCTCTTCCTCTCTGTAGTTCTGCCTTTCAAATAAATAAGTAAATCTTTTTTTTTCAAAATGGTTTACACATTTTTTTTTAAATGTAAAATTTTGTTTTATACTGAGGATTTATAATAGCTTTTTCCTTTTAACTTGTTGCTACTTTCTTAATTTATCATCCTTGCTGTATCTAAAACTCTGTAGTTTATTGAAAGCTTATTTACTACTTATTCAACAAAGTATTATCTAAGGCTATCACCAGATGTCAGTCTAAGTTATGTGTTAATATCATCACACTTAGAAAACATACTTTTACGTTTCTGTTTTGAAAATAATAGCAAATTCTCTGCCTTTGTCTATTTTACATTTGTATCCTAGGAACTCAAACAGTCTAAACATGGGAGGCCACAAAGATCAATTATTCAAACAACAAACAGTTGTTAAGCAGCCATCATTCCTTCCTGGAACAACCTGATGAGTGTAAAAGTGTGTGGGAGAGAAGCGTCTTCTGCCCTTCTAAAGATGAATGGGAGACAAAGTCAAGTAATAAACATTTATGTACAAGGCGTCATGAAATTTAACACATGAAGCAGAACGACTGCTTTTAGCTTCAGGGATTTTAGGGAATTCAAACCCCTTCTAAATGTCAAGCCTGTCCTGGTTTTCTGTTTGATTTTTTTTGTTTGTTTTTCAGTACCGATCATGTGCCAAGACGCTTAGAAATAAACCTCTAGTAATTAAAACCATCCTCTGAGGCGAGATCATCATGAAGTTACACTTGCTCACTGGCCACGTAGACAGCTTGGGAAACTTCACACAGGAATTGACAGGCGTCTAGTGTTGAAAGATGAACAAGAATTGGGTAGGCAGAAAAGCAGCAAGCATGGCATTCCAAGTGGAGGGCCCACCATGTGCAACTGGCATGCACCCACCTGTTAACCTCGCTTCCCGCCCTCTCATTTAAGCCTACATACTTCCTCCCTAAATTTAGCAAAAGCCTTTCTTTTTTTTTTTTTATGAGAAACAGCTTTTATTTCTTCTAAAGATTCCTTATATTTTTTTCCCTCATAAGATTTTAAACTCTTAAAAATGCAATTTCCTCTTTCAAAGCACATGCCATCTTTAAAAAAAAAAAACTTAGCAATGTACATTTGCACTCAAAGAAAAACCTGCAGCGTCATTGTCTTCTGACAGAAGCCTGCACTTAAACCCCACGCAGTTTTCACAGGCTCCATCTTTATCAGTGAGGGCCTCGAGGCCACCAGCATTCAGTGCACTATTGATGGATCCTTATTTCCCTGGAAACACAGGACCAGTGATGGCTCCTCACTACAGCTGTTTCTGAATGGCTGAGCAGAGGTCTCCCTCCGAGCAGTCAGAGGAACTTGAGGATCCAAGGGGAGGGTGGAGGAGAAATACTTTAGGTCTACCTGGCATCCTGGCAGGCCACCCGTTTGGCCCTCCGGTCCCACAGCAGCTCCTCATGGCTTACACACCGTGGAGAGCGTCAGGGCGACGGCCAAAGCCTTTCCTCTCTCAAGTGTTTTCCCTCAACAACACCAGTCTTTTTTTTTTTTTTTTTTTTTTTTTTTTTTTTTTTTGGACAGGCAGAGTGGACAGTGAGAGAGAGACAGAGAGAAAGGTCTTCCTTTGCCGTTGGTTCACCCTCCAATGGCCGCTGCGGCCGGCCAACCCCAGTCTTTAGTGATACTACCTGATTGCATTTCTTGATGTTCCTTCCCCAAAATCCTGGGAAAACCCTGTTCATCCATCAAGATGTGCTGGAGTTTGACCCACATTTTTCTGACACTTGCAACGGCCATGTTATAGCTCTTACAATGTTTCCAGTGAACTTCTAATGATCTGTTGACAAGGCTACCTCTCCCCAAAACACTGTGAGGTCTCAAGGCCAAACACAGTGGGAAGCAGCAGCCGCTAGTGATTAAATCCACGGGTTCTGAATTAGGTGACGTCAGTTCACATTCCAGCTTCACCATAGTTCCCTTTGTTGGATCATCAGCAAGTTCCTAAGCTTTTTAAGTCCCAAGTAACCCCTTGGGGGAAATGGGGATAAGAGTATCTACATGCACTTGTTAGATTGTTTCGAAGACTGAAAGAAATGATCCATGAAAACAGCATCAGATGTGGCACACAGTAAGCCCTATTAAATAATGTGAGATAGTATTACTGTTTCCTAATGCCTAAGGTGATGGCAGGCAAAGGCCAGTGTTACATGAAGTTTACATTGCTGGCTGGCATTGCATGATCTTACGTTTATAACCAGATACAAGCCACTGTACGGGAGCAATTTCTTCCCGTTCTTCCATTCTTTTCCTTCCCGTTCTCCTTGCTCTTCCCCTTTTTTGGATGCATTGTGCCTATCGCGTTTGTACATGGACTGTGGTGTCTCATGAATGTTCCTGGAATTGATTCTATTTTACCCTACTAATCAACATTCTCCTTAATCTTCATAAGGTTCTAGATACAAAGTAATGCCAAGTTTGTTTGTGAAATTCTCTTTTCCTGTTTTTTCCCTTCTTTTCCTGTTTTATTTTCATTGTACCATAATAAGAGTATGGACAAAATGCAAGGCATTGTCATTACCTGACATAGCTAAAAAATTAGAAAAACATACTCTAAGGAAGTCAGTATCTTAAATTTCCCATCACAAGAACAGGATAAACATTAGCAATTTTCAATGTCATTCAAGAAGACTAAGGAAAGTCTCTTTGGCTCTGAAAAGTGAGCTATATATAATTCATTTACACAGTAGATTGATGGGTTTATAGGAAGGGAGTGGTTTTATTTTACTGAGTTTTTTTCCCCGAGTCAAGACACAAAAAGAAACAACAGCCAATTCCAGAGACAGAATTTATTTAAAACAAACTTGAAAATTTCATAGCTTTGTGTCTCAGGGATTTGTCTCCAATTAGCTGTTCTTCACAGAGAAGAACATAAACTAGAATTTATAATCATAAAATAATCTCCTGCTGGCACTTTTTAAACAAAGGAGAAATTTCTATTCTTTCCCAATACATACTCACCCTGTGGCCAATATCTTGTTAATGAATTTTTTCTACATTAATACAACTCATTTAAAAGCTAATGTAGGCCGGAGCCGGCTCACTAGGCTAATCCTCCGCCTTGCAGCACCGGCACACCGGGTTCTAGTCCCGGTTGGGGAGCTGGATTCTGTCCCGGTTGCCCCTCTTCCAGGCCAGCTCTCTGCTGTGGCCAGGGAGTGCAGTGGAGAATGGCCCAAGTGCTTGGGCCCTGCACCCCATGGGAGACCAGGAGAAGTACCTGGCTCCTGCCATCGGATCAGCGCGGTGCGCCGGCCGCGGTGGCCATTGGAGGGTGAACCAACGGCAAAGGAAAACCTTTCTCTCTGTCTCTCTCTCTCTCACTGTCCACTCTGCCTGTCAAAAAATAAAAAAAAAAAAAGCTAATGTAAAATAGTTGTCATTCTTAACAATTATGGACCCATCTGAACATTTAGAGATGGGAAACATGCTGTAAATTTCCTTACTCTCTCTCCCTATTTTACCAATAATATATTTCTTTGTAGCATTATTTTAAATAATATATTTTTAAAACATTTAAACAACTCAATAGTTATGAATAACAATTTTATCTCAATTGAAAGCTCTACAATGCAAGGTGATACTTTTATAAAACCAGACAATGAATAAAACAGTTGAACCAGGAAGTAAATGACCAATGTCCTCTGTCTTGACACATTAAGAGGATGATCAGTTATATTTTAATTCTAGCTATGTATATCAAACCTATCGTGTCAGGAAAAAAAAAAACAGTGACCATATATTATATACAGGGAATAGTATAATTCCAAGCACAATTCTGAGCCCATGTCAAGAAATTTGTAAATATAAAAAGAAATGTAGAGTAACATCTTGAAAAATTTCTGAAAAAGAAAGGAAGGAAGGAAGGAAGGAAGGAAGGAAGGAAGGAAGGAAGGAAGGAAGGAAGAAAGAGAAAGAAAGAAAGAAAGAAAGAAAGAAAGAAAGAAAGAAAGAAAGAAAGAAAGAAAGAAAGAAAGAAAGGAAGGAAGGAAGGAAGGAAGGAAGGAAGGAAGGAAGGAAGGAAAGAAAAGGAGGCCAGCGCCGTGCCCTCACTTAGTTAATCCTCTGCCTGCAGTGCCGGCATCCCATATGGGTGCCAGGTTCTGGTCCCTGTTGCTCTTCTTCCAGTCCAGCTCTCTGCTGTGGCTTGGGAGGGCAGTGGAGGATGGCCCAGGTGCTTGGGCGCCTGCACCCACATGGTAGACCAGGAGGAAGCCCCTGGCTCCTGACTTTGGATTGGCGCAGTGCGCCGGCCGTGACAGCCATTTGGGGAATGAACTAACGGAAGGAAGACCTTTCTTTCTGTCTCTCTTTCTCTCACTGTCTAACTCTAGCTGTCAAAAAAAAAAAATAACAACAAGGGAAAAAAGAAAGAAAAAAATTTCTGCAGTGTTTTGTTTTGTTTTGTTTTGTTTTGTTTTGTTTTGGATAGCATTAATATAATTCTACTGGAGGCTAGCACTGTGGCACAGCGGGTTAAGCTGATGCCTGTGAAGCCATATCCCAAATGAGCGCCAGTCCCAGCTGTTCCACTTCTGATCCACCTCTGTGCTATTGTGCCTGGGAAAACAGCAGAATATGGCTCAAGTATGTTTGCCATCCATGTAGGAAACTCGGATGGGGTTCCAGGCTCCTGGCTTGGCCTGGCCCATCCCTGCTTTCTGCAGCCGTTTGGGGAGTGAACCAGCAGAGGGAACTCCCCTCTGCCCCCCGTCTCTACAAGTCTGCCTTCCAAATAAATAAATCTCTAAAACATAAAATGATTCTGCTGAATCATAGAAACTAAACTTCAGTTAGAAAGTCTACTGTTACCCTCAGTTATGCTTAGGCTGGAATGGAGGTACTTACACTTCAATACTAGAAGTGAAAAATAAACCCTGAGGTTACCTAAACTAAGGGATGCGCAACTAGTTATGGCAATGTCATAGTTGGTTGTAGTAATATGAAGTTCTATCTGAAGCCGGCACTTATCCTTTAGTTTACTACAAAACTGTCCTGGATAAAACTTGCTTAATCTGTTAGTATTCCCTTTAAAATCATATGAGATTCATTGTATTTTTTTAAGTGTAGTGCTATCACTAAAGTAATTTCAAAACTGTTGTAACAACAGATACCATATATTTTAGGCTTCCCAGAGTACTAGATGGAATGAAAAAAATATTTTTAGTTTGCTGTGCTAGAATAATCATTTTACATTGTTTCCATGGAAGCTTCCTTTATTGTCAAGGACATCCTGCTTCAGATGTTAAGTTGCTCCCAAACTGCTGTACATATTATTTAAATGAGAAAGAAAAATTGAAACGAAATCTCAGATAAACAATTAATTTAAAGACTGAATACACAGGGGCCAGTGCTGTGGTGCAGTGGGTTAAAGCGTTAAAGCCGTGGCCTGTGCGGCGCCGGCATCCCATATGGGCACTGGTTCGAGTCCTGGTTGCCCCTTTTCTAGTCCAGCTCTCTGCGGTAACCTGGGAAAGCAGCAGAAGATGGCCCAAGTGCTTGGGCCCCTGCACTCACGTGGGAGACTTGGAGGAAGCTCCTGGCTTCTGGCTCAGGATCGGCGCAGCTCCAGTCCTTTTGGTCATCTGGGGAGTGAACCATCGGATAGAAAACCTCTCTCTCTATCTCTACCTCTCTCTGTAACTCTGTCTTTCAAATAAATAAAATAAATCTTTAAAAAAAAAAAAAGATGCCAGCAGGTTGTCAAATATTTGAGTCGAGCAGAGGGGCCTAGGCCAGAGTCTAGGGCAACGAAGGAATTGGAGAATTAACAGAAGAGGCGTCCAAAATGAAGGGGTGAAAGGGAGGAAACTTAAGAAAAAAAGTTAAAGCAGAAGGTAAGAGGTTAGAGATCCAACCCCAGGAGAAAAGAGCAGGTGTGCGGGTGGCTCCGCCATGCCCCGCCCCCATCCCCCTCAACCCCCACTGGCCCCGCCCCGCCTCCGTCAGGTCCCTCCCCGTCCTGTCCCGCCCCTTCGACCTCGCCTTTCAGCCCCGCCCCGCTCCTCTAAGCTCCGCCCCCGCACGTCAGACTCCGCCCCGGCAGGTCCCTCCCATCCTTACCCGGCCGGCGTCGCCCGCGGCCGGCGTCGCGTCAGGTGACTGCCCGGAAGCTACGGAAGCGGATGAAGGAAGTGGGGCCGCGGGCCCCGGGGGCGGCGCGGAACTGCCGAAGCTGCTCGGCCCGGCCCGGGCTCCCTGCGCGGCCCTCATGAGGCGCCCTCGCTGACACCTGAAGCCCGCCGCGCTGTGTCTTCCGGCGACCGCGAGGTCGTCCGGCCCGGCCCGCAGCCCTCCGCGGTGAAGCCGTCGTGGTGAGGGCCCGCGGTGGCTACCCATGGAGACGGCCGGGAGGGGCAGCGATGGCGCCCCGCGGGGGCCCGTCCTGCACATCGTGGTGGTCGGCTTTCACCACAAGAAGGGCTGTCAGGTGAGGAAGGGGCCGGGTCCCGCGACCCAGCCGGCGTTCGTCCCCCCCACCCCCACAACCCCCTGGCCCCTAGCCCCCGGCGCCCACTGCCCTCTTGCCCTCTTCTGCCTGACTCTGCTGGCGTGGAGCTCCATCCTCCCCACAAATCCTTCTTTCTGCTGCCCCTGAAAATTGCGTGGCGAGCTGCGGGGATGCGGCTTGGTACGTGCTCGCCTTTGGGGGTGTGGGCGGAAGGGATGGGAGACCGGTCAGCTTCTCCAGTCGCTTGCAGGGGACTCTAGAAAAATTCAGCGCTTGGACCGTGTTCAACTAATGAGCGCAGTGAGCACACGCGCACAAGTCTCGGGCTGCTGCACGCACAGGCTGGCGCCGTGGGAGAATCGACTTCCTTTGTTGATCGGTCGGGAGGCTTAGAGTCTGTCCTGTTAGGGTTGTCGATCGGCCCCGCCCCCTCGCCGCTGGCTCTTAATTGTGCTGTTTACCTCGTCCTGGGCTGGCCATTTGGTGAGATTGGCTTGATCAGTTGCAATAATAGGAAGTGGATTTACCACACTAAATGTGCAAATAGAAAGGCATTGTTAAGCTTCTTCCCTGACTCTGAAACGAAACATTTGCACTGTATGTTTTGTAGGCAAAGGAACAAAACAGAAACGGGATTCTTTAATGGGTCAGCCAGCACTGGAAGGCAGTGATGTCATAATGTGCCATTGAGCAGTAAATTAAAATGTTTTTTTCTAAGAATTTAAAAATACTAGTTACTACCATTGGTTAATATAATACTTGGTTTCTTGCCTTTCACAAAAACAAACAAACAAACAAACAAACAAAAAAACCTAGTATTTTAGAAGATGTATTGGCAAGAGTTAAGTTCATTAGAGAATTGAACCAAAGCTGTGAGGGGCGTGAAAAGATGGTTGGGTTATGTGTTTTAAACTGCTTAGCTTTAAAATGTCGTATTCCTCATCCACTGCATACTAATGATGTAGAAAGACACCGAGAAGGAAGTAGTACTGTTCAGTGTGCTAAGAAAAGAATTCCACCCAGAAACAGTAATTGCAAATTTATATATATATATATATATATATGTATTAAGATTTATTTATTTTGAAAGAGTTACAGAGAGAGGGAGAGACAGATCTTCCATCTGCTGGTTCACTGCAGATAGTGGCCACAAAACAAGGAGATTCATCTAGGTCTCCCACGCAGATGGTAGGAACCTCAGCAGTAAGCCATTAGCAGGGAGCTGGATGGGAAGTGGAGCAACTAGGACATGAGCCAGTGCCGGTGCAGGATGCTGGTGTTGCAGGTGGGGGCTTTACCTGCTATGCCATAATGCCAGCCCCAATACAGAGAATTGACTTGAGATTGTCACATGATAAACATAGTGTTCATCATTAGCAGATTTTTCAGTATGTTACAACTCCATGTGTTTGAATGTAATAATCTCTTTATAAACTTTCTTAGTTGCAGGGAGAGTCACTGAAACATTCGAGGAGACAAAATGATCTTGCTGAGGTCACACTGCTAAACAGACCTGCACAAAGACCTAGGTTTGCTTCCCAGGCCATGTGTGTTCATTCTGCTGTGGCATTTTAGTCGTCTTTCAGGGCATAATAGGATGGGAAGCCATTTGAAACCACAATGAATGGCGCTTTGGATAAGACAGGAGAAAATACCTGTACAAGTAGGAGATAGAATGAAATCTCTTGCTGTCATCTGAAACCAAGATTGTTTTCTATTTGTTTTATTGGTGAAAGTAGTACAGTTTGTATTTCCAGAAATAAAAAAAATGTGTAAGACAAAATATAATGCTGCTTAGAGATGAAAGAAATGGAAAACAGATTACAAGATGAAAGAGGCACTTTGGGCTGCAGTAGCCCGGTGGGTACGTGAGAGCTCTCTGGCTTTGTCTTGATTTCAGCGGTGACTGGTTTTATCAAATGAACACTGTCAAGCGGACTGGATGACATGTTGTGGTTACAACTCCCATGACCTCCAACTAGTCCAGATTGCATAATTTTTCTTTATATCTCTGTTTCTTCTACCACATTCTTCATAAGAATTCCAGATCATCCACTCAAACTCCCTTCAGTGTCCAGATGAGTCACCTGAAGCCCAGAAAAGTTAAGTACTTTGAGCTAGTGTGGCACTAACATTGAAACTCAGATGTCCTTAGTCAGTATAACTATATCTTGCTCTTGTAAAAATACATATGATGGTATTTATCATTTTAACCACTCACAAATGTAGAGAGACATTAAATAGATTCACAAATTGCATAACCATCACCCGATCTGTGCCCTAAACTTTTTCATCCACAACAAAAACTGTACCCCTTAAGCAGTATATGAGTATATATATATATATATATTTAAGATTTTATTTATTTGGAAGTCACAGAGATCTTCCGTCCACTGATTTACTCTCTAGATGTCCACAACAGCCGTGTTTGGGCCTGGATAAAGGCAGGAACTAAGAGCTTCAACCAGGTCTCCCATGTGGGGAGCAGGAGCCCAAGCACTTGACCATCTTCTGCTGCTTTCCCCAGGTCTTAGCAGGGAGCTGGATTAGAAGTGGAGCAGCCAGGACTTGAACCGGTGCCCGTATGGGATGCTGGCATCACAGGTGGAGGATTTACCTGCTGTACCACAATGCTAGCCCCACAAGTAAATCTCTTTTAATAGCGCTTTGAGGTTGTAGGCTTTTAGAAAATAAAATAAAATAATTTGTAATCTAAATGGTGCTTCACAGCGACAATGGCAATTTTATTTTTAAAATAAATTTACTTGTTGGGTTATTGATAGAATGGAAGAGAATGCAAAGTATTCTGTCACAGGACCTTGAAAGATGTTAAACCCCATTTGGGTTGTTTTTCTCAGGTGCTGAGTGGCTTGTTTTATTACTGTAGCTTTTTAAAAATCACACATACCTCTTTTATAGCAGAAAATGAAGTACTAACACTGGTTTTGCAAATCAAACTTGAGAGTGTGCTATAGCGAGTCAAAGTTTAAATGCAGTAGTGATTTTTAGATCTGTTATGGGTTCTGTTGCTTTTGCAAGAGTCAAATATTTGTAATTTTAATGGAATTATAAGGATTTCTCAGGAAAACTTCGGTGTACTTGTAATTATTTGTTAGTTTTTATGGTTCCCTTGTGGAAGTTAGTTGGATCAATGATAATGATTTCTGGAGTCTATAGAGAGTTGTTTGGGGACGTGGATCATCCAGGAAACCTGTGGTACTAGCCTGATTGTGTTGAGGGGCTGCCAGCACAATCAACCAGTCCACTCAGCAGAGCAAGTGAATGACAGTCTCACACCGGGCTGGTTGATGACACTGACAAGTAAAGTCCATCAAAAACAAGAAAGCTACTGGAGACTAATTTGTACAAATTCATGGCAGTTCATATAGCTGGAACAGGTTATGTAAAGATGTATAGTAGTATTAGAAGATGAGAAAATTATTTTGTTCAGTACATTTTTTCATTTTTAGTTACCCTACTTTTTCCCATTTTAGTCTTATTTTTATAAAATATTAAGACTGTTGATTTTTGCTGGGTAGAGGAATATTATAAAAGCAATGTACAGAAATTTCCAATATATAGTATATTAGTTCTTAAAGGATATTATTCACTTATGCAAATCAGTGTCTTCTTAGATGCCTTACAACTATGCTTTCTTCACCCTTTGAAATCCATGTTTTTTGTTTTGGAAAGTGTGTGTATTAACACGCTTAAGTCTTAGAATAGTCACTCTAGACACATTATTTTTAACAAGTGTATCAGTTGTTATCAGAGGCTCTGATTATGGAAGATTTTCCCCCAGACAGATTAATCAGCTAACCATTTCTCCGTTTTAAGATTTTCCTTCCAGGAGTAGAGGATTAAAAGTGCATGCCCAGAGTCCCATGCTTGTTTGTAATTTGTAACTTTTAGATTCAAGTGTGCTGAAGTAAAACCTTTGTTTAAAAGTAATGAATTTCAGCATTCTGCGTGGTCAAGCATGATCAGCTTTGTTGCTTCACATGGACTACAAGGTGAAAGCCATTTTCAGTTGCAAGTACAGCTTGTGGAAGATACTTCTTCATCTTGTTTACTGATTTTTTTTTACCTAAACATGTATTTTATTTATTTTTTTCATATAAATTTTTTTTATGTGACAGGTAGAGTTATCCTCTGTTGGTTCACTCCCCAAATGGCTGCCACAGCCGGCACTGCACCCATCTGAAGCCAGGAGCCAGGTGCCTCCTCCTGGTCTCCCATGCGGGTGCAGGGGCCCAAGCACTCGGGCCATCCTCCACTGCCCTCGTGGGCCACAGCAGAGAGCTGGACTGGAAGAAGAGCAACTGGAACTAGTACCCGGCGCCCATATGGGATGCTGGTGCCGCAGGCAGAGGATTAACCAAGTGAGCCATGGGGCCGGCCCCCTAAACATGTATTTTAAATGAAAAATTCTTCCACTTAAAATGGAAATCTGTGATCTTTTGTTCACTTTTATTGGGTAACCGGTGGGAGATGTTCTTCTAAAGATAACCTGCTGATTTCTGGTGGTAGTTTTTCTGGTTTATTGAGAAACTTAACATTTACAGTATTTTAAGTGATCTACCTACCATAACATTAGAAATAGTTTTTAACTATTTATCCATTCCAACTCTCTCCTGAATATTTTTTTATTTAGCATTTAGCTAAGGACTTTTCTTCCTTAAAAACTTACCTGAAATCAGACTCTTTGACATGAAATAACTTAAATACGGCTCTATAGTAAATTTGCTTGTTAGGGATTATGTGTTCCAGAGTTTTGTTTGTTCCAATGTATAAACTATATTTTGGCAGATCAGATAATCTCTGCTGAATAATTTAATCAAGATATGGCAGATAAACTCTTCAGTTCTTTCATGGATAAGTTGGAAGTTTATTTTATTTTACTTTTTTTTTTTTTTAAAGATATATTTATTTGAAAGAGTTACAGAGAGATAAAGAGAGGTCTTCCATTAGCTGGTTCA